TCTTCAGCAACAGCAACAGCTATGCATCAGAGACTTAGTGGTAAGTAAATCGGTGTTTTTAGGTTTTGTTTGTTTGGAGGTTTGGATTTTGAGTTGAAATTTGAATAATAAAATTTTTTAATTGGAATAGTTGTATATTGTGATATAAATAGGCGTTGATGCGATGTTTTGAATGTAAAATTGATTTTTTTAGTACCATATAAAAAATGAAAAATAAGTGTTTGATTTGATTTTTTAAAGAATTTCTTTTTTGATAAATAATGTATTTTGGGGAAAATCCATCAAACAAACAAAGTATTTTCGGAATAGTGAGATTTTTAGTGGCAATTTTTTTAGTTTAAGTATGTTTTATTTTGGGGGTTTGAATTATTATTATTATTATTATTATTTTTTTTTTTGAGATTTGAATGATAAAATTTTAAAATAGAAAAATTATATAATGTGATATAAACTGGCCCGTTATGTTATATTTTGAATATAAAATTAATTTTTAATATAATATATAAAATAAAAAATAGATATTTGATTTGATATTTTTTAGAGAAAATTTTGTATGAATAGTAAAAATCTAAGAAAATTTGATAAAAAAACACTGTTTTGTTCTTTTAATAAAATATTTTATCACATTTTTTTCAAAAATTAATATATTATACACGTTCTTTGCTTTGACGAATGGTTATGGGAGACTTAATGGTAAGTAAATTATTTTATTATTATTTTTTTTAGTATTTTCCTAATAGTGAGATTCTTACTTATTGGTAATTTTATTAATTAAATATTATTTTTTTCTTTTAGTAAAGTAAATATTAATTCTTTGTACATTATTTTAAAATAATATTTTATGAGGCAAAAAATATATATTTTTCTTTTACTTTACATGTTTTTTTTGGGAGGTACATAGAATTATATATTTTGTTGATTTTTTTTGTGTTTTTTTTTATTAATTTTGTATTATTATTATATATATATATATTATTTTTTAAAATATTATATTATTATAATACAACATTTATTTATTTATTTATTTCAGGGAATGCTGATGCCTCAATAAGTGCTGTTGAAGAAAAAACCATCTCGAAAGCATCTCAGGTTATATATTATAGACATATTAATTTGACATTGAATTATGGCATTACATTTTTCTGTTTTTTTTTTTTTTTTTTTTGGTTGATTTATATATATACAAAAAGTAAAATAATAAAAAAAAAAAAATACTAAGCTAACAAATCCTTCTATTTTTCGATTTTTTTTAAAAAAATAAAATTGGAAGAAATAGCTACTCAAACTATTTGCAATTTTGTTTAAATTAGAGGAATTAGTCAACAAGATTGATTGGATATATATACATTTGGCAATTTTTATTTCTTATATATATGATTATATTTTTTATTTTAATATTTTAAAAGTAAAATAGTATTTAAAAATACAATAAAATTTAAATATCGAATTTTGTAAACAATTTTTTCGTCTTTAAATCTTTGTTTAACATTACTAATGCCATAAGAGACGAAATTAGAAATTGATTGTGTTAGCTACAAAATTTTTAAGGACGAAATTTTCGTTATAAATATATTATTTTTTTTGTAATGTATATTTGTAGTAGGACCATAAAAACAATATTGGCATGGTATGAAATATTCTCAATATTATGAAAAGTATTATGCTATAAAATCAATGGAATATTTTACACTTTATCGACATAACACATCGAAGTTTTATACCTTTTAAATTTTCTTTTTTCATAAAATAAATACATAATTCTATATAATTAATTGTATTGCATAATTTATTTTCATATTATAACTAATTAAATATTTCGCCCAAAATTCTTATTTTTATAGGGAGTGAAAGAGACAATCGATACTAATGATTATCATGATCCCGGAGCTAACCCTCGTCACGATCCAAGACAGCCACATCCTCCGCACGCTCTTCGTAAACGTTTTTAAGTCGACTATCCGTATGTATAATGTAATAATAAGTGATGAAAATCTTTTCACATAAATAATCCAAATAAATGGATCAAAATATTGAAACATATGCTTGCTTGTTTAGTGTTTTGATTTAAAACATATTATTTTTTTATGTGCGATAAATGAAATTGCATCGGTAATATAAAAATAATATTTTGTATTGAATTCTTAACTTTTGTAAGAGAATAATATATATATATATATTGAAAATTATATAAAAAAAAATATATATGTTGAGCAAACAAACCAAAGTTGTAACTATATGAAAAACTCATTTTCAGACTTTGAGATGAAAGTCAAAGTTCTAAATTTGCTATTACCTTAAGGCAAAACAGTATAAAGCCCACTGTGGTTTATGAAAATTGCACAAAATCCGATATTGTTTAAAAATTCCGTCAGATTTCCTTATACTTTTAAAATCCTGCATATAACCTCTTTTCATTATTATTGAATGGTGACTTGAGTTTCTGAATTACCTTCGAAGTTAGGGCGCATCTAAACACAATCACCGTTAACTAATAGTGAAAAATGAGTTAAATGCAGGATTTTTGAAATCATAAGGAAATTTTATGTAATATTTAAACAATAAGAAATTTCGTACAATTTTTATAAACTACACGTAGATTTTATGTTGTTTTTCCATCACTTTAATAGAAGTTAGAATGTTATAATAATAACAATGAGTGCATCATCCAAGAAGAACGATAAATTTTTGTGGGACAACTGAACAACAAAGACTATTCATAATCTTCAATTCTAAGGAATAGAAAGTAACAAAAGGAACTATGGTACTAGCTTGAGGGAAAAAAAGTGACACTTCAAAGAAAGATTGTTAAGTTTTAAATCCATCGACATTGGAGTATGTAATGACTATATTCTTTTATATATATATATGACATGTGAATCCGCAGTTTCTATCCGAAAGTGCATACTGGGTAAATTCCCGGCCGAAACTAATAACCTGCAAATTAGACTCGACAAGGCAAGTCACATTAAGCTAACCATGTGGGGCAGGTGGACCTAGAAGCTTCGGAGTTTGAAGCTATAACTTCACGGTCACAAGTTCACTTCCTACACCACCATACCATCCCTTACGGGAATATAACGATTATATCCTTGAAAAACAAAAAGATGGTTAAAGCATGAAAGAGATTTATAAATGAAATTTTGGAGTTGGTTCATAATAATTTGTTGAGGTCAAGTATGGTGTTACCTTTTGGAGGCTCATGACATTACAAGAAGTTAATTGATGATGCTACGAGCATAGTATGAATATATATATATATATATACATACTCCATATTATATTAAATATGTATATATTATATTTTTGGTAATGTTTTTAAGTTTAAATTTTGAATTGTAATTATTTTAAATTGGAATAGTGCATATGACATAATATAAATAAGTACTGATATGATATTTTTGAAAACAGAAAATATTTGATCTAATGATTTTTGGGAGAAAATTTATTGAATAATAAAAACAAACACACCCCAAATTTGAAATTAGGGTGATGGTTTGAGTTTTTGATTTAAATAGTATTTAGATTTAATATTTTATACTTAAAAAAATAATATTTCATTTGTCTCATAAAAAGAGTGTTTATTTGTCAGTTTCTAAATATAGTTTTATTATTCTCATTTTTTTCTCCAAAACATCAAATCAAATAAGTTATTTTTTATTTATAATATTATACTAAAATTTACTTTTAAATTTAAATGATCACATCAATACATATGTATATCATATCAAACAACTATTTCAATTAAAAATTTTATCATTCAAAATCAAAATTCAAAACTAAAATCATATAAGTAAACACACCCATATTTTGTTTTTTACACGTAAATTTTTAAATATTAGTATTATATTGATTTGTAATAAAAAAATACAAATATTTTAGTATTGTGTAATATATAAGTAATGATATTTGTATAATACAGTATTGTAATAATATTCATTATGTTATGTATATAATACAATTACTAAATTAACAAATGATACTATTTGTTTTAAACCAAAGGCTTTGTTTACATAATTAATAATTATTTTTCACTCATTTGATACTATTTACTTTTGAAAAAATATCACATCAAATATATTTTTTCTTTTATAAAATATCAAATAAGATATAATTTTTTTTTTTTTTCAAATTTCCAAAATTCTCCAAAAAGCTCTATCCAAACGAAGCCATAATTTTTGGTTTGAAATAAAAAAATTAGGGGTGTCAAAATTAAACCCGACTTGAGAAACCGAACTCGTTCAACCTGAAAATTTTCAAGTTCAGGTTCGAAAAAAATTCGTGTCATGTTCAGTCGAGTTTTGGGCTGACCTGAAATTATTTATTAATACTCACATATTCTATTTTCGTCTGTGTCAAAACAAGGTTACCATTTCCTAATTTAGTAATTGTACTACCTACTAACATAATAAATACCATTTCAATTTACATTATATTACACAAATGCCATTACTTTTATATTACACCATACTAATAGGGATATTTTTGTCATTTTTACTACAATCCAATATAATACTAATATTAAAAAATTTACGTGTAAAAAACAAACGCCACCATTCCAATGGGGCGGAAGGAGTATTATTATTTTAGTTTATAATATTTATATTATTTTAAATATAAATAATATTACAAATTAAAATAAAAATGAAAATTTTTAGTTAATTTATATTTTTAAAATTTTCGAATTCGTTTCATGTCTGCTTTGTTCGAGTTTGGAATGACCTCAAAATAAATCAAGTTAATTTAAATCCGATCTAAAAAAAATTCGTGTCTACTCTAAAATTTCAATTCAAATTTCGAATTCGGGTGAGATTCGAATTGATTATTTTTTTGTTACCCATTATTCACACGAACACGAATTGAAAATATCAATCGACAATTCTAAACAAAATCACACCCAAATTTCAAAACCAATGCAAACACATGCCATTTTTTAATTGACCAAATTACCCCTTAGTCCTCTTCTATAAATTCAAAACCCTAAAGCAGATGGCCGCCTCCAGCCTGCTTCCAATCTCCATGCTCGCGAGCCAGCCAGGTAAAGAAAGCTCTGTCGCAGATCTCTCTCTTTATACATACATATAGATCTGAAAAAACACAAGCACACACATTCACGGTTGCATTCGATTCGGAGGAGGCTCTGTGATGAGGATACCGATAAATCTCGTTAATCTGATTCATATCTAATGAGGATAATCATCCAAATCCATTCGTTTTCGTCTCTGAGCGCCTCCTCCGCCTTTCTTAATTACCATTTCCTTACCGTCCTCTTTTATTTTATTTTATTCAATCAAGACGAAGAAGACGATCAGTGTTTGGTTGGGGCGCCGCCTGCTACAAATAAACAGATCGATCAATTTTTTTAATTTTTTTTTTTTGAATTAGGTTTGTTTCGAACGATTCTACGGTACGGAGATGTTTAGGAAACACTGATTGAACCAAAAAACCTCTCATTTAACTTCTCCCAAATGCAGACTCAGCTTCAAGCTCAAATGCTCTCTCACTGTCACTCCGGAGTTCTCTCAGCGTATCTCACCAGAGTCTCGCCTCGATTATCTCATCCTGCGCCTCACAAGATTTGCTTGTATAATCGGAACAATTGGTCGATTTCGTCCTTCACTTTTGGTGCAATTCCGTTGGATACAGTGAGAATGGCTTCGGTTAATTCTGCTTTCTCAAGTTGCCGCAGCAGTAGGAAAGCCGCTCCCGTTGGATTAGACAATTCTGACCTCGACCGCTTTGCCGACGTAGGCAACCAGGTCGCTGACGCCGCCGGCGAAGTCATTCGCCTGTACTTCCGGAAAAGCTTTGACATTCTTGATAAAGAGGATTTGAGTCAGTTTATTTAGCTTTTCAACTTTTGGTTTTATTCTTTGTTTAATTAAGAATTATTATTTGCTGTGTTTGTTCCCTTGTTCGTGTTCGTTATTGAGCGTGTAATAATGCTGCTAGGTCCCGTAACAATTGCTGATCGAGCAGCGGAGGAGGCCATGGTGAAAATCTTAGAAGTGAATTTTCCTTTGCATGCAATGTGAGTACTTTTGTTATCAATTGTCAATTTCTTGTGTTTATTCTTCTTGCTTTCAGTAAGTTGTTTGTAGATTTTTCTTGGATGCTGTTGTGATTATAATATAATTATCCATCAATAATTCTTTGTCTGAATAACAATCTTCTATCACTTCCTGTAATTTTTGGGGGCTTTCCGAATGGTTATTCATGTTATTGTTTGCAAAAGTTATTTGTTCTTGATTATTCTTTTACTCCTAGAAAATTTATTGTTTGAAAATTTCCTCACAATGCTTCTTGGATGCATATTGACATGAAGTTTCGGTTCAACTACAAATGACACAAAAATTTCACAATATATAGATGAAGGATATACATCTTTTTGGGATGGGTTTGGATTATATTTTGTTTATTATATTCTCCTTGTGTTGATTCACTTTCTGCAAAATGGTTGTTTCTTGAAAGTTTAAGAAAATAGATGAAATGGAAAGATTCATCGGGTTTTCATGCCACAAATATTTTTTGAATGGGAGAAGATCCAATAGGTTTAATCCTACTAACTGATTTGATGTAATTGCTATATTTAAATGTCTAAAAGGAAAATTTGTTTCTAACTTCAGCTTCGGAGAGGAGAATGGATGGCGGTGCAAAGAAGATTTTTCCAACTTTGTTTGGGTATTGGATCCAATTGATGGGACGAAAAGTTTCATTACTGGTATATAAACATAAATTTACTTGCGATCATCTTTAAGACTTGGCGTGATATATGATGTGATTCATTGGGTTCGTTAATATTTGTAGGCAAACCTTTGTTTGGCACATTAATTGCTTTACTTCATAAGGGCATTCCGGTAAGAATGTGTTGATTGTGAGATTATAATATGAGCCTCATTTATTTGTAATCACATTTTGATTTCAGAATCCAACTGAATGTTCTCGCTCTTTCTTGTTTGGACAGATTCTTGGTATCATCGACCAACCTGTGTTGAGAGAGAGATGGATTGGAATAAGTGGGAGGAGAACTACTTTAAATGGAGAAGAGATCTCCACCCGCAAATGTTCTAAACTTTCGGAAGCCTATCTGTATGTAACATTCGTTTCTTGGAAAATTTCCTATGGTTAACGTCTTAGTCTGTGTGTAGATATTTATTAGGTATTCTATGTGTGTGATTGATGTTTGGTTCAGGTACACAACTAGCCCACATTTATTTAGTGGTGACGCCGAAACTGCCTTTGCTCGAGTAAGAAGCAAGGTATGGTCTTTACATTTAATACCATTCGTTTCGAGTATGCTAGAGAGTAATTTAGATAGATTTGCACGTCTTCAAACACCCACGTTGTTTTTGAAGTCATCTTGCACTTGTTGTCTGCACTTCTCAGATTAAGCTGACTTGTTCGACTCCAAATTCTTGTTAATTGTGGTAATAATTTGTGAACATTGCATATTATCTTTTCTGGAACATACAACATAATGGTTCATATAATTAACACTCTCCCTTGTGATAAATTTCTTCTACATTTTGTGCCAAGTTATATACATGTTCACCTTGTATAGTTAGGCCCCTTTAGATAGGTATCTTAGGAGTTATTGAAAATTTTGAGAATAATAAAAATTTGAGCATTTGATGTGATGTCATATGTTTTATGAGAGAGTATGTACTTAAACAGTTTCTTCTGGTTTTGCAGGTCAAAGTTCCCTTATACGGTTGCGATTGTTATGCCTATGCATTACTAGCATCGGGCTTTGTAGATCTTGTTGTTGAGTCCGGCCTCAAGGTGAATTACATGACTTCGCTTCTCTAGAGTTTGCATCCACAATTGAAACTTTCGTTATTTAACCAAAATCATAGACAACAAAATCCACTTCTAGAAACTTCTTGAAAAGTAGTTGTCAAAGCACGAAATTCTAGTGGTTTGTTAAAATTAGGTAAAATTCTTTATAATTTACCTGTGGTTTGAAAAATTTGCATCAGTCTCTCGTGATTTAGATAGGGGTTTTTGTGCAACATTTTTTTTTTAAAAATGGGAGCGAGTCTCGCTCAATTTTGAAGGGTTTCTGTCCAATATTTTTAAAAATATCACAAGAGAATTAAATAAACAATTTTGCCTTAAAGTTATCATCACGTTGTTGCGATCATATATGTTCTCCCATTATTCCAACAATTCCTTTACTATTTTCTTTAGCCGTACGACTTCCTTTCCCTGATACCCGTGATTGAAGGTGCCGGTGGTATTATCGCCGATTGGAATGGAAATAATCTCCTTTGGGAGCCTTCTCCCAAAGCACTTGCAACAAGTAGGACCTTTTTAACATTCAGTTAAAACTCAATTTCGCAACTCTATTTACCCACATACGATGGAATTGGTATGCTGAACGAGCTTAAAATATCATCTCCATTGCACGTTTCTTTATTTTCAGGTTTCAATGTAGTCGCAGCAGGGGATAAAGCGGTTCATCAAGAAGCTCTACGAGCACTGGAGTGGCAGTAATGCTAGAGGTCGAGAAAATAGTCCTGGTAAGAAAGCTTGAAACTATATCTATTTGTGCTTAAGTATTTTGCAATGGAAATATATGATCCATGTTGTATTTTTGTTCCATTTTTATTTGGTGTTTTTTATAAAAATGTCCTAAGTCAGTTTTTTTTTTCAAAAACTAGACGAACATATATATTTAGGGAATTTGAAAAATAAGGTGTGTTGGAGAGAAGGGGTGGCTATGAACAATAACTTAGGAAAAGGCTTTTCTCAAACCCCCAACCAAACAATAGGGTGTTTTTGGTACATAGAAATGAAAATAAAGAAATAGAAATATCTTTGTTTCTCTTGTTTGTTTAAGTTTGAAAAATTTCTCTTTTGGGATTTGAAATTTTAAAATTCCGGAAAAGAAGGATCTTTTGATGGGTACTTTTATTACTCTAAAATGTCATTCTCATTGCATTTTCATTTTTACTTTACACCCTCCTATCTAATAGAGACTTTTTTTTTTTTTTTTTTTTTTTTTTTTTTTTTATATATATATATAAATATAAAATTCCCACTTTCTTTTTTTAGTCTTTCAACTAAATTTAATTTATTACAAAACAAAAAGTCAACAAATCAATATTTAATTATTATCTTTTATTCAATATTTATTTACAATAAATACCACTAATTTTATTATATTTTCTCTCTTCATTAATTTTAATTTTTTTTTAATTTTCAAAAATATTTTCAACTACTCATTTTTTTTTATTCACGTATCCAGTCCAATGGGGGCTAATTTTAGTCGACGGAGGGAGTAATATTTTATTTAAACATATTATTACAAATACATATATTTATTCGTAATCATTAATTTTATTTATATTAACTTATATTACTATTAATATTTAAAATAAATCAATAAAAATTAAAATTATTTGATTGTTCTGATGGTTTTGTATTTTTAGTTTGTCTATAGTATAAAAAATAATATTTTATGTTGAATGATGGAGGTGGCTTCGGACAACGGCTCTCCGTAGGGGTTCGGCAGCTCCAAACTTGGAAGGATAAGCCGATGATTGGAGCACTCGATGATGATGGGAGGGGACGTCATGATTGATGCCCGATCCAATTCAACTCTCCTCTTTGATAGGCAAGCAGGTACATCCTCTCGGTCTCTTTTAGTGGACAACCAATGCGAAGAAAAGCCTATTTCTCCAAAATCCCTTGGAGAATAAATGAATGCTTGCCTTGGTACGGTAGTTCAAAGATTGTTTCGTATGGTTCATTCTTTGAACCTCCGATGTCTTTGAAAAACAAAGAAATGTGTTATTCCCGAAGCATGGAAGCTACCTAAGAATGGAGAAGTGGAAGTGGAAGTGATTTATAATGATTTGTAGGGGTCAACTCCGGTGTCATCCCTTGGATGCTGATGATATTGGATGAAGTTCGTCGATGATGCTACCCGAAATGTATGAATATACTTCTTTTCATTACTTTCAAGAAATGTAAAGTACTTGTAAAGGATAGAATTGGTTAGTAGGTTAAGTACTTGATGTCGGATAGTAGTGGCGAGTATGAGATAGACAAGTTTAAGAAGTATTGCACGATAGGAGTGGACACGGTTCGGTTATTTGCAAATATGTAGGTATTTGATAATCGAATCGAACAAATATCCGAAATTGCGAACTGTATCTGAATTAGACATTTCGGTTAACTGAAAATATTTGCAGTATTTGTAAATAATTTGAACTGAATCGAAATTAAGAAAAAATATATAAAAAATAATTAATATTTCAAATATTTTAATCGAAATTGAACTGAATATAATTATTAATATAAATTTTAAGATATAAATATATAAATATATTTGGTTCGGTTAACTAAATTAAAAAAATATAAAAAATTAAAATTGAATCGAACAAATATAGTATTTGTATTTGAATCGAATTTATTCGATTAACTGAAATTTGATTCGATTTAGTTCGGTTTGACGGTTGGGTTTAGGTTTTTTGCCCACCTCTATTGCCTGAAACTTAAATTTTGAACGGAGAAGACACTTGGAACCCTACAATAGCCCCGATCCATGTATGGTGAAATATTGTTTTTTGGTACAGGAATTTAAATAACTAGTATTAAGTGGAATAAATTAAGAATTAAGTGATTTGATAAAAAAAAAAAAATTATTTATTTTTTTATTTGAGTGATTTAAATAAATAAAATAATTAATTATTTTATATTTTGAAAACATTGCGGAATGTATGTCACGGTATTTAAATAAATATGAATTGTATTGTATTATTAAATAGAGTTTGCTTATATATTAGGTACGAGCTATATAATATATGAAAGCAATATGTATACTATATGGGTGAATCAATTTATTGATTAATATAATGTTACTAAAATATTAAATAAAGTTATATTATGTTCACTTTGTTTGATTATATAATATAATTTTTTTTAAAAAACTCAAAATGTCATTATAATTTTATTATAAATTTAATATAACTTATTTTATTCTTCAAATTATAAATTAAGGTTTGACATTATCTTTTATATTATCTTATATTTTATTGAATTTTTTTTTTCTTTTTTTTTTAAAAAATCTTATTATATTTATATAAAATGCTTTTAAGTGTCTAAAAAGAAGGATACTTTATAAATTTTATTAAGTATGAAAATTGCGTTTGGATTATTTAACTAAGGTAGAGTAAATAAAGGCAAGTTTAGATCGGTTATTCATAAAATAAATTCAGGTATATCGAGATTACTCATCAATAAAAATTACAAAATAACGAAACCTATTAAGTGTTATAACCGGAGATGGCCCTCAAATATCATAATATACCAAAGAGAATGGGTTATCGAAAATAGATATTATTCGAAAATGGAAGGGCCGATTGTTTCCTAAGTTTACAATGCAATCAATTAAAAGAATCCAAACAAATTGAACGGAAAATGCCATTATTAGCAAAAGACTAGAAGTTTATTTGTTGAGGCGTGTCCAAGTCGGATGTGCCATTGATAGAAGGAAGAGGGAGAGGCGACATTGGACAAAGATGGTGTATGACGAAATTGGAGGTGGTCAAGCTCAAATAAATGGCCTGTTTTGCGTCCTGTCCCAAAGGGTCGTGTCGTGAATTTGCACACCAAAAATTTTGAAAAAATCACAATGAGGCCCTGCTCAACCAACTGACCAACGGAGGCAAGGTCTAGAATTAATTGGAGAATGACGTAGACATCGTGTATTGATTGGGAAGAGTTGTGTCCAGTGTGGATAATGCACATGGATGCTCCATTGACTGTGAGAATATGTGGTGGAGAGATAGTAGATGTTAGGGAGTGTAAAATACCCAGATTCCTATAAGAGGTCACATGATTACAACATGTAGAATTAATGTACCAAGACTGGTTCCTGAGGGTGGGATCTAAGAGTGATTGACAAATAAAACCTAAGTGGGGATGTGGCGAATGTCCTCAATTTAAGGCAATGAGTGTAGAGATGATCGACATTCGCACAACTGCGACACTTGTCAGACGGAGCTGCTCGGACATTTCTGCGAGCATCTCTATAAGGATAAGTTATCGAAGAAACAACCAGGGCTGAATAAGAGTAGGAACCTTGAGCATCTTAACACGAGTATTCTCAAATAGAACTTCTTTTATGGCAGTCTCCAACAAAGGTAAGGGATGACAATGGAGCAAGGAAGCACAAATGGACTCATACTCAGGACCAAGGTTCATTAACAATTGAATCAAGCAAAAGTTGTAATACCCCAGAGGTGGGCCGGTGTTAGGCCAACTTCCGTGGATGAGCCGGTGCCAGACTACCCAAGATTCAATAGTGTAATTAAATGGATTGAATAGACTACTCATATCAACAATATGCACATTTCTTTTCGGACCTACTTAACTTTAGAGTAATTTGAGGATGGGTGAACCTTTGAGAAGTCTCCCGGGGTGTGACTGGGTGAGAATAGAAGCGCATTGAAATGACTCGTGTTGACCTATGGGGCCAGTCTACGATCTCAACATGCCCGACTTTGCGTGACTTGCTGGGCTGGGGTGTCACAAAAGTGTTCGTGGTGTATATATGCTTCGTCAATGCGATCCCACATAGACAAAATGGTTTAAAAAAAATCATTCATTCTTGATTTGGCTCATATGTTAGCGCATTCAATGAGTCTATCGATTGATAGTAATTTATACCCCGGTGGCCTCATAGCGACACTTGACAGTTTTTTACCAATTAAAAAGTTCTTATTATTACCGGTTAACATAACAGAAATACCATATGCTTCCACACGATCCATATATTGATAGCAATGTATTTTATTATTATTATTATTTATTTTTTTAAAAAAAGGCAGGATAGAAAAATATACCCCAATTAAAATTAAAGCACCAATTCTCACCAATTACCCAAATCTCCCAAAGTTGCTGCTGCTCACCGGCGAAGAGGCAGAGCCGGTGGTGGGTGCAGGCATGGTCGCCGGTGGTCGGACGTGGGGCGATGGGCGTGGGGCGGGCGCAGGGCGACGAGTGCGGCAACGGATCTGGACGGCGGTCGGGGCACGGGTCGACCGGTGGCGGAGCGGCTCTGGGTGGAGAGTTGTTGATAAATTATATAGTTGTTTATATTATTAAAAAATATTATTTAAAATATTTAATTTTTTTATTTGTATAAAATTTGTACATTTATACTCAAACATTTTGAACGAAAAAATATTGTATATATTTATTGAAATAAAAAAAGGTATTATATAATTTCTTCTAATTAAAATTATAACTTTAGCAATACAAGCTTTATTTAATTAATTTGTTGCCCCAATAATACGTTGCTCAACTTGTCCAATAAATGGCGAACCAAATTAGTTTGGCAATCCTCACAATTTGTCCAATAAATGACAAGGATCATATCAAAAGTAGACATGCCGGGGGAAATTGCAAAATATATTCTATACGATATAACCCATGATCACTTTTATCCTGTATTTATCTCGCTTGATAAAATATATTCTACATATTTGCAAAAATCGAAATTTATATCATTTGGCTGCGCGTGGTGTGACGTCACGCGCAGAAAAAAGACAGAAATAACGACTTTTGCAAATATGTATGATATATTTTGCCAGCGAGATTAGTACATGACAAAAATATAATGAGATATACGTGTGAGATATTTTTTGCAATTTTCTCTCGTCCGGCGTAAAGATCTAAAAACTAGTATTGCTTCTGTCAAGTCCTTGTAAATCAAGCAATGAGACATCCTCTATTCCAAAACTACGTTCTGGATTTGATCCCAAGTGGGATCTATGTGTGGGTTAAAAAAAAAAAACGTAGTATCTTTTCTAACCAAAATCTTTCTATACTACAACTTTTTTCATCTATAAATAAGCTCTTTCTTCGCCATAGTCGGCATCGCAGAATTTCTTAGTTTTGACTCTTTCAATGGCTTCTCATTACCTTTCCATAGCCCTTTTCGCGGCTACCCTTTTCTCCTTCGCCACAGCTCAAACTCGACACCCAGTCTTACTCGAACAAAACAACTTGACCGTGACTGGCCGAGTCTGCTGCACCGCCACCGGAAACTGCCCCGGGACCAGCCTCAATGGGGCCACTAGTCGGCTGGACTGTTTTGATACTAGTCTCGGTTTGCATACCATTGGCAAAACCACCACCATCAACGGTAACTTCACAATTTTTGCAGAAGGGAAAAAAGTCCCTAATTCGGAAAACATTTTAATCGACTCGTGTACAGTCTTTACAAAACTTCCTGTCGCGGGCTGCGCCCTCCTCACCTCCGGCGAAATTCTTGCAACTCTTCGATTTACCAATGCCAAACCTATTGGGAATCCCGTTCGATATAATATAACTGCCACGACTTTGGTGTCTTTAGTCGAACCTTTTTAGAATTCCGTCGTTGCTCGTTAACTTCTATCGTCGTCGTCGTCATTGTTGATGCTTTTTTTCGACTTTAAAATCTCTACTATATATATATATATATATATATGACTATAAATTGGTGTAATAAAGGGCAAGAAATAGGCATACTTAAGGCATCCATATTTCTTTTTTTCATTTAAGGAATGAACGAGAATAAAGTTGTATTGTATTAGTAAAATTATTATATATAAAATTAAACCTTTATTATATTGCATTTGTTCTTGAATTTTCTTTAAGGCAATTCCTCCTTATGAAATTAAACCTATAAATAATTGTTTATTGAGGGGCTTCTAGGTTGACGAACTTTTGTTTTTTTTGTGGGATTGATATTTTACAATATGATTTATATGTGTAATAGAAAAATACGAAATAGATCTAAAGTTTTATTAACAAAATCGGGTTAAAACACAAATATTAGACTAGTTTTGGTTAGGATCAGCCCCTAACCACTCAAAACAGTAAATCGAAACACAAATCCACATAACTAGCGATTACACACTTTAAACCGGCCCGAAACTGAACGACACACACAAAATAAACCTCCTTAAGAACATACAAGGCGAAACAAACAAAAATACAAACGCCTCAAAATTGAACGAGCCCTTTGCAGCTACGAACAACAAATCAGGGGGTAAAACACCGCGCTAAAGGAGCTCCACAAGTTACAGGAGGAAGGCGCCACCAAGAACCGCTGGAAAAAGTCACCGGAAAGGTAAACAGAGAGGTCGAGAGAGAGAAAGGAGAGCTAGAGAGGGTGAGTGGTGTAGAAAGAGGATTATGAGAGTG